AAGGAAAGAGCAGTAGCTCAGTCCCACAAGTGACATCTGGCCACCAGTAAGCATCATGGTCACTGTCGGGGGCCTGCCCTTTAGCTCAGTTGTTTAAGTGCCTGCTTAAAAAAGCAGTGAGGGGGGTCCAGGGAGATGGCTCAGTGGAATAAGCGCTTCCCTAGCAAGTGCAAGGGCCTGAGTTCAATCCCCGGTTCCGCCAAAAAGAGAAAAAAAGCAGTGACGCTCAAGTTGCTCTGGTTCCAACCCAGATACTCCCACCAAACCAGAAATGCCCCAAAGGCATGTTCAGGCAGCACCCCCCCCCAAAAAAGAAAAAATCCTTCTGCCATGGTCACTGTCCACATCCACCACATACTAGAACTTTATGTAATATCCTATCCCCAAACTGTTAGAGGTGTTGGTCATATATTTGTCATTCCAGTATTTTTGTTATGTTTTATTCTTAGTAATTCTTTACTATTATAAAGACTTTTCTTAGTTGCTATTTTTGTATATATTAACCTAATCAAATTCTATGTGAGTACTCTGAATTGATCACAGATTTGTACATATGATATATTACATTCTGGCCTCTTAGTTGGATAATTTTTTTCCATAAATTTATTGAGAAACAAATAGCAATGAGACAGTTTCAAACCAAACTGGTAGGACAGTTTCAATAATTAACACATTGTATACATTCTTCCTAGTGGTTAATTGCTGTACAAGATGCAGACATGATATCCTACTGACAAACACCATTAGAACAAATCCCCCTATTCATTAAGAGAATGTAACTGTATATCGATCCTAGCCATTTGAATACACAGATACAAAATGGACATTCATCTGTATCCCCTTTTTTAAGTTCCGTTATTTGAATATTATAGGTGTGTACACTCAGCAAAATATTCTAAAAGAGTCCAGTAGTCCATAATAGTATTGGGTCTTCTGTGGACTCAGAATTTTTGAGTATTATTTTGAAATATTTAAACCACTATGAAGACAACAATATGCAATGTGTTAATTACTGAAACTATCCTACTAATTTGTTTTCAAACTGTCTCATTGCTATTTGTTTCTCAATAAAATAAAAAATAAATAAAAGAAATATTTGAGGGGCTGGGGAGATAGCTCAGTAGAATAAGCACTTGCCTGGCAAGCGCAGGGTCCCAAGTTCAATCCCTGGTTCTGAAAAAAATAATTTTGAATTAATCTTTTTCTGAATATTAATTTTCATTTTTTATGATTTATACTGTTTGACTTACAATCTAATTATAAGACATGGTATGATATTTTCTCCCGGTATTAGAAACTTTGAAAAGTTTATTTCCATTTTCCATTGACTTTAGTTTTTGTCTTTTACACACACACACACACACACACACACACACACACACACACACACACGAAAAAATATGACGTAAGATTGATACTGTTGTTTTTGTTTTTTGTTTTTTGGTGGAACCAGGGATTAAACTCAGACCCTTGCACTTGCCAGGGAAGCACTTATTACACTGAGCCATCTCTCCAGCCTGCCAGATTGATACTGTTTTGTGGAACTCTTCAATGACCTTTTAAATGGATTCGTCTAACACAATATTTTACATAGTCCTGCATAACCACCATTTTGAGAGCTCTTTATTCTTTATCTAAGACCATACAGCAACTTCTCTTGCCTTCTGGATTATGCTCTTTATTTTCTATATGCTCCATCTGAAGGTATCAGAATATTTCAAGTTTGTATAACTGGAAAATATTGTACTTTTAGTTCTCAAAGCTATGTTTGCTAAGTATAAAATTCAATGAGGACAGGTTTTTTTTCAGTTCTTGGAATAAATAAGTCTAGTTTTTTACCTACTCTTTTTTTTTTTCTAATGTAGAATAAGATGCTATTGAGTTTTGTTCTTCTATAGCTACAATTTTTCTATGTATATGCTTTAATGATTTTTCTTTACAATTAGTTTTGGACAATTTCACTTTTATGTATCTTGCTATTATTTTACTCATATTTCTTGTGCAAAAGGTTCATTTTTCTTAGAAATGTGGTGCTATAATTTTAACTAAATTCAGAAATTTTATTTTTTTATGGAGTAGATGCTAAATTTATTTGACAGTTTATGACAAAAGACGAGATGACAAAGGACATTGTAGTGTGTGGTCAGAAATTTTATTTTTATTTATTTTTATTTTTTATTTTTGGCAGAAGCGGGGATTGAACTTAGGCCCTTGCGCTTGCCAGAGAAGCGCTTATTCCACTGAGCCATCTCCCCGGCCCCAAATTCAGACATTTTAAATCTTTAAATATTTACTGCATCCTGAGCCAGCCAAAAAAAAAATCCATCTAAACTTTATTAAAAATTAAAAAATATTTATTGCCTACCCCTTCTACTTTAAGAATTCTAATTATATGAATAGAAGTTTCTTGATTTTTTTTTT